TTTGTTGGTTCTATCAATTGATGCGTAACAAACTCATAAAAGAGCTGTAAATAATTACTTGTTTCAACCTGTAACTTATTTAATCAAACCAAGTTATCAAAGAAACCAATTTGAATTTTCTTTTAAAAGCATGTTTCTATTTGAATTTTCTTTTAAAAGCATGTTTCTATTTGAATTTTCTTTTAAAAGCATCTGCCAGTTAAAGCATTGCAATTTGAATTTTCTTTTAAAAGCATGTTTCTATTTGAAAGTTCAACTATTTTATAACATTGCAATTTTTAGTTTTCATTTGGGACAACATTTTAACTTTCAAAAGTCTATACATTTTTTCTTTATCTAGTCCTTTTAATTTGAAAAGTCCACTAATTTTAGCTTTGTACTTAATCAATTCATGTTCCTTTACACCGCATCTTGTATCTTTAGGTTCTACCTATTTTCGATATGTTTTAGGACACAAATAGTTTAATGTCAAGGAAAATGTAACATTTCATACAACTCAATATGGCTTAAAGTTGATCAAACAAGGTTCTTCACTATTTGTTGTAATGTCCTATTTTTCTAAAGTACTATTTTAGTTTTTTGTAATGTGATGATCTACTTAATTTTAGGTCTAGCATCCTGGGAGTTTCTTGCTGCAATTTAACATGTCCTCATTATCAGGTTTTGTGGTTAGGTCTAAAATGATACAGTAGTTACTACTTCAGAAGACAATTATTCGGGCAGTGGGCAGCGAAACATAGGTAGAGGCAAAAAACTCGAAACAATAGGTAGTGGCAAAAAACTCACAACCCTGCCCGAGATTTTTCGTCAAGTTTTAGAAAAATTCTCTCTTGTGACAAGGTTTGCCTGGAAAACAATTGTGACAGCCTTGTTGATGGTCATGGTCAAAGTCAAAAGCCATGGTCAACTCTGGGTACCCAAGAGTGAATCCTCTCAACCTAAAACAAAGTCATGTAAACTGGGTGCTCCTATTAACACGAATTTATTCGTGTATACGCAATCATTAGAGAATCAATCCCATCATCATATTTGTTGATTTTGTATTTTTAATTGTTTTTATATTTTTCATTTTCTTCCCTTTCAATTAGATGTAAGTTACAAAACAAACGTTCCTACTTTTTATTCTTTTTAATTTCAACAACTTTATATGAAATACACATATAAAAATTAATACTAAAAAATCTTAAATATATATATCAAAATAATATCAATTAAAATGTTAAGGTATGTATTCTAATCATTTTCAATAAATATATTTTTCATCAAAACGTTAATAATATATTTTATTATTTTTAAAATTCATATTATTAACGATAAACCAATTTATAACTTTTCTAACCCATTGCTAAAAACATTATTTAAGTAAAATTAAGTAAATTAATCATCTTTTCAATTTAATATATTAAAATGACATCTGACATATATCATTTCAATTATGGTTTTAAAATGCGTGTCAATCAGTGCCAATCAGTTCTATTGATAAGTAATATTACAATTATATACATTCTAGTTTTAGAACAGACCTTAGATTTTTTTTTTCATTTATATCTTAAACCTTTGAAACTTTAATTATTAATTTTGAAAACTAACAAATAGAAACATATTATTTAATCATAAAGTTTGTATAATAAAATGATCTCATGAATACATTTACAAGAAGAGTAATAATGAATATTGATAAATATTTTTAAATATTAATAAAAAAAAGTTAATTTGTTAAATAAGAGATATAAATATTAAACATTAACAAAAATAGAAGGGATAAAAATGAAAATTTGCTTTCAGATTCTTACGATTGATATTTCTTATTTGTTAATCTGAAAGCGACTTGCAATGTCAAGTAACTTTCGTTTAAAAGCAAACATATGATATTTGTTATAAATGTAGATTTTATTAAATGACAAGTTTAGAAGAATGGATGGTTGACACATATTATGGGTATTTGTACTTAACATTTCTTGTTTTTTTAAGTTTTTTTTGTTAAATGTATGTTTTCCGCTTAGTTATGTTTTGTTTATGTTTAGAGAGATGATATTCATCCAATGGAGACAAATGAAGTAGATGAAAATAATAGCTTGAATGAAAGTAATTTATTTTTTCGACGACACATCACCATTCGAAACGGATATCCATCCAATGGACACAAATAAAACAGATGAAAATAATAGCTTGAATGAAAGTAGAAGAACTGATTTCTGAACTATTATTATCGTCAAATGTTGATAAGGGTTCTATTATAATGTATTAGTAACTTGTCAATTATTTTTAAGCCATACAACT